GAAAGCTCTTTGCAGAACGTACCGGGAGCCTCAACCACGTTGGCACCCTCAGTTCCAGGGGTCCCTTGTAGGGAACCTAATCTGAAGACATGACTGTCACAGCAGGAAAGCCTCGTGCATGAAGATGTTCAGCACGGCATGGTTTACAGCACTGAAACGCTGGAACAACTGTGACCCTTGCCGAGCACCGGTGAGGATGTGGCATGAGCAAAGGCACTACACCTGGTCACGAAGACACGGGGATGACAACATGGAAAACACTTAGTGACAGCAAGACAAACTCGGAGGCAGCTGCAGTGTAGTGGAGAAAACCCAGATATCAGGGAAACCTGGGTTCGAATCCCAGCTCTACCACTTAGCGGTTATGGGGCCTTGACCAAGCAAATCACCTCACCTCTCAGAGCCTCAGTTTCCTCGTCTGTAAAATGAGAATCACAATGCCTGTCTCTAGACTGTTGTGGGATTTAAGTGGAATGAAGCGGCGTAAAGCGCTCAGCACAGCATTGGCCTATAGATGGTCCAAAATAAACCCGGTTTCTTTCCTTCTTCGTCTCTTTCTCAGGTGACTGAATGTTGCAGAGAAAGAGGAGAATCCCAAAGGTCTGAGTGATACACACCCTGGGGGCAGACACCCAGCTCTGACACTTGCTAGTTGTGTGAACTCGATTTCCTCATCTGTAAAATGGGGATGGTCTTAGTACCTATCTCCTGGCGTTGCTGGGAGGAGTAAATGAGACAACGCATGGAAACCGCCTGGCGCAGCAAGTGCTTGCTGTTGGCTACATGAGCGTCGCCCTTGTTACTGTTTATCCCTGACACATGGGTCTGGGCACGGGGAGGACCCTCTCCTGTTCCCTCCGGCAGTGAGAGCAGCTCTTCCCAGTTTGCAGTGGGGCTCTTGAGGCTCCACGAGTGAAGTGTCCTGGCTAGCAGGACCGGAACCCGGCTCGGGGTGTCCGGCGCCCCCGCCACCCCCGGGGGCCCCGCATACCCACGGCGTAGATCTCGATGCTGATGGTGAAGATGGAGTGGGAGCGCGAGGAGTCCTTGTTCATCAGCGTGTAGCCGACCGAGCGGTTCTTCCAGCCCATCTCCATGACGTGCTCGCACTGGGCCACGCTGTGCACCGTGTGCATGGACAGCCCCCTCACGTACACGCCCTTCTCCGGGTGCTCCTTCAGCTGCGGGCAGGAGGACCAGTCAGCGGCGGGGCCTCCCGCCTCCAAGGGGTGGGGCTGCGGGTGCCCAAAGACCCCGAGAAAGGGGCCCAACCCAGACCACCCCGCCCTCCTGCAGTGCAGGCTGGCACCTCTAACACCCTGTGACAGGGAGGGGTTCGTCCCTGATGGAGCCAGCCTCAAACCTACCCTTGCCTCCTACTTGTTGTGGGACCTGAGGCCAGTGACTTAGCCTGAGCCTCAGTTTCCACATCTGTAAGCTGGGTATGAGATACCCATCCCATAGGGATATGGCGAGAATTCAGTAAAATAAGGCACATAACAGTGTTTAGCATGGTGCCTGACACACGACAAGCGCCCCACAAATGCCAGCTGCTGTCGTGTCATTGTTGCTAGTACTGTTAGTATTATTACAACGGTGGTTTTCAGTCTGGGAGCTCTGGATCCCTGGGGCTGACCCTGTGGTCACCCAAGGGCCCTCGGTACTGTGTCCCTCGCCCTGTTGATATGTCCCTGACCGCCTCTCTGCCGTCACTCCAGGGCAACAGGATTGTTCCTGACCCTTGACCATGGCAGGTGAACGGCCATTTGCTGCCCAGAGCTCCCGCAGCGGGAGAGTGAATTAATTCATTTGACGGCTCCCTGCCGGCTCCCCAGGCAGCCAAGTTGGCTGTTGCTGACACAGAGCTGTGAAACGCAATGCCTTCAAGTGTGAGAGGAAATAAAACCACAGAATGCATTAGGACAAAAGGCGCTTGTCTGCCAAGTGGCTCAGCTGCTCAGAGCCACCGAAGGCTCAGGTGCTTTGCTCCAGGCAGGGCAGCGTCAGGGATGCCAGGTGGGGTTGGCCCTGCTGTGGGGGCGGGGACAGGCCCAGGCTAAAGTGCGAAGTGGAGACACAGCCAGACCTAGCCGAAGCCCTGGGCTTCATGAACGGGTGAGGGACTGAGGCACAGAAAGGGTTAGTGACTTGCTGAAGGTCACACAGCTATTACTGGGGTTCCAGGCGATGGAAGGCTCCAGAGGCAGGGCACAGAGAGAGGCTGGGGCACCCTGCAGTAATGGAAGCTTGAAGTGACAGAGGAGGTGGCTGTGAGGATGGAGCCCCAAGGACAGATGCAGGAGCCCTGCCTGCTTGGGTCACTGCCACCCCCAGAGTCCCACCTGGCACACCTGGCCCAGGTGAATGAATGGAGCTCTCGGGCTGGAAACCTAATTCTGTCACTTGCTAGGTGAGGAAGTCAACTTGCCTCTCTAGGTCTCAATTTCCTCTTCTGTAAAATGGGGATAAAAAATCCCATTTCTGCAAGACTATTATGAGGATTAAGAGAACGGATCTAAAAAGCAGTTCTGCAGGTACCTATCCGGGGGTCAGGGAGCCAGGTCACAAAGAGGACAAGGACGCTGTCAGGGTGCAGCAACCTCAGGAGACAGCCCTCCCCAGGGGGTCTCCCACCGCTCTGCTTTCAGGCCCAGAAGTTTCTCCCCCACCTGGTGATGCCCCCAGGGGTTCTTCCCCCACACACTCCCGACCCCGCCCCAGTCCCCACAACCGGGGAGGCGCTGAGTGACAGCCCCAGCTGCGTGACTTCGTGACTGCTTATCTTGGCTGTGGAGACCAGAGCCCGGTCACCATGGCAACCAGCTGGGATGTTGCAGGGATGGAGAGGGGCGCACAGGCAGGCACGTGTCCATGGCCGCCATGGGGAGGGAGGCCCTGGACGCTCTGCCTGGACATGGGGTGGGGAGAACCCGAGACACTGGGCTGGGTTCCGCGATGGTGGTTTGTAGTGGCTGCAGGGGGCGTAACTCTGCTTCCCCAAATCTCTTGCTGGCCTTAGCTGATTTAATAAGCTCTAATTATAACCGTTATCAGGCTCTGTGCTAAGCACAAGTTAAGAGCTTGTGCTGCGGAGCTTGGCTCCCTGGGTTCAAATCCTATGTCCACTCCTTACTGTGTGCCCACTGGCTGGTCTTACTTAGGCATGTCAAGCCTCAGTTTCCTTATCTGTTACAAAGGATAAGAAAGGCACCCCCTCCTAAGGCTGCTTGGACGTTTGCACAAAAGCCAAATGAGCATTGTCCACAAGGGAGCATATCAAAAGCCAGGTGCCCCATGGAGGCGTTTTGCAAAGCATACATGTCACCGTGGCCCTTGAGGCAGCCTGGTTCACCGGGCCTGTGGCTGCCAACCTCAGCCCCTCTGGGGTGGGTAACTGAGGGCAGTGAGGAAGAGGAGGAGAGCGCTCTGTTGCCCCAGGGCAGGTTAGCAGAAGTTCTGCAAGGGGGCAGGGGATCTAACCCCACAGGCTGGCTTTTTGGGGCTGACGCGTGGGAGCAGCACTCTACGCCTGCCTCCCCTCCCCCCCCACCCTCGTCTCCATGCCTGGCTGAGCTGTGACTCAGCTGCACCAGGAGAGAGAAGACAGTAGAAAGACTGTCTTCCCCTAGGTGGGCAGCCGTAGGGTCCTGCATAAAAAGGGCAAAGCAGCCAGGTGTGGTGGCGTGCCTATAGACCCAGGTACTCAGAAGGCTGAGGCGGGAGGATCACCTGAGCCCAAGAATTCAAGACCAGCCTGGACAACATAGCAAGACCCTGTTTACCAAAAAAAAAAAAAAAGTCCCCAGCGCCACCTGATGCCAACCTCCCCCCACCACCCTACCTGTCCACACTGGGTCTGCACCCACCTCCAGCTTGTGCTTGGTGTCAGCTCCCAGCAGGTCACGGACATCTTCGTTGTAGATCTCCAGGTAGGAGGCCCGGACCAGGAACTTGGTGTTCTCTGCACACTGCAAGAGCACACAGAAAGAACTGCGGCACCTGACCACCAAGCCCACCTGCCACCAGGTCTGTCCCTGGGACCTGAGCCCTCTGCAGCTAGGACATCTTGGGAGGAGAGAGGACGTCAGGGTGAGAGGAGTCCCCAGCCCCTCCTATCCTGTCTGCCCTCCTGGCAAGCTCTCCCCGACTCTCCAGCTTGGTGGAGGCCTCTCCAAGTCGCATGATTCTCACACTGCTCTTTTTTTTGTCTAATGCTCTGTCTACAGCCTCATGGGAAAGGAAACAGAAGCCTCCCCATCATTCAGGAAGAAAAGCCAAGGCCACAGGTAAGGCCTGGACCTAGCGCTGGCTCTAGGCTGGTCCCTAGAGCTCTCCCAGCCCGCACATGCTCGCAGGGGCCAACACCATGAGTGCTCTGCCGCTGACCAGGGCCGCAGTCCCCACTCTGCCATTGTGCAGGGACAGGACTCTACATGCTGCCATGAATGGTCACCAGGACTATTCCCACCTGCAGCCTGGACACTGTTATGGATTCAGAACCCAGTCTTGACCCAGCCCATACGGGCTCCAAGGCTCAACCTCACTATCTCGAAAATGGGGACATACGGTACCACCTGGGTCAGTCTGGGGATCCAGGGAGGTCACTGCGCAAAGGGCTTCCCACAAGGCTTGGTCTCCAGCAATTGCTCAATAAAAATGGAAGCCACAATGGTTCTAACCACTTCCTGGTCCAGAGCTCAGGGTGCTCATATGCACAAGAAACACTAAATGAAATGTTAAAATCCAAAAATGGCAGGAAAAAAACATGGAACTGGTAGAGAGAATTTTCTCAGTTTTGTTTTTCTCCCACCACCTTTTCAGAAACCAGAACCCTCTCTGTCGGTTTGTGCTGAATCAAGCTGGACTCTGACTCTGTCCCATATCCACGCCACAGGTCATACGTGCTCTGGGGACCATTTGTGGCTTCACCCTGCCCCTGCCCTCCACAAGGCCCGTACCTGGACGCTCTCAAAAACGTGCTCGAAAGCCCTGGGGATGATGCCTCTCTGGGAAGGGGGCTCCGGCAGGCCCTGCATGGTGAAGGACTTCCCGCTGCCCGTCTGGCCGTAGGCAAAGATGGTGCCATTGTAGCCCTCAGTGACGCCCTGCACGGGAGGAAGCCAGAAGCCCGGTGCTCAGTGGCCAAGGCTGGGGGCCAGGCCTCTGAACTCTCAGGGTCTCACAGAGATGAATAAGCCGCAGCTCTGTCCTCAAGGAGTTCACCGTCTGCAGGGGCAGGAGACTGTCCCCGTGGGGAGGTTAGAGTCTGTGCCGGGGAGCCTGGCCCCGAGTTCACATCCCGCCTCCGCCCGTTACTGACTGTGCCCGTCAGTGGCCCTACTTAGGCACACTGAGCCTCAGCGTCCTCATACATAATAAAGGAAAAGCACGGCCCCTCCCACAAAGGCTGCTGCGAGGTTGACGTGAGGATTATGTCATGCGCTAGCACGTGACGTGCCGGCATACGTCACGAGGCGCTCCCTCAATGTCTGCCTGGCATGTGCCTCCTCCCGGTGATGGAGGAGCACGGGATGCCCCAGCCCGGGCGCTGCGCAAGGAGCGGGGAGCACGGAAGAACCAGGCTAAGCCTCTGGGCAGCAAAGACGGGGAAGAATGGGGGGAGCTGAAAGGGTGACTTGGATTTTGACAGGTGACAGGAAGAGGAAGGCATTCCAGGCGGAGGGGACAGCTTGAGCAAAGCTGCAGAGGTGAGACAACGGGGAGAGCAGGTGGAGCTGGGGCCGGAAAGAAGAGCGCACCGGGCCGCATTTCTAAAGTCATCCTAATTGCTGATGCGTTTATTCACCAACAGGCGCCGACTGTCTGCCCTGCTGGACACTGTGCTCTGGGGGCAGAGCAGTGCACAAGGCAAACACAGTCCCTGCCCTCGCAAACTCATGAGGCCACAAAATCTGGAACTTAGTATGGGGGTGAGGGGGATCCTGTGTCAGCACTGGGCCCAGAGAACTGCCCCCAGGCCCCAGCACCCACGTGGCATCCACGTGGCATCCACGCCGCATCCCACTGCAGAGACCCATGCTGTGGACATGCCCAGGAACTGCTGGTGAGGGAAGGCCAAAAGTCCCCATCCACAGCCCCCCGAAAGGATAGGACCTCACTTTTACGGGCAGAAGTGTCCAAAACGGAGACAGACACTGGCAGAAAGACCACCTGACCAGGAGCCCGAGGCTGGGCTTTCAACCCCACGTGAGGGGACAGGAGGGGGCGTAGGAAGCCCCGGGAACAATGTGGAGCAGATCCGGGAGTCTCAGTGTCACCCAAGCACGGGGAAGGGATTCTACGTGAAATAAACACAGTGGCACCGCACAGCTGCACCGTCCGCCGGGGCGCCACCAGCTTCGCCAGAAATGTGCCTGCCCCGTGCCACTGAGGAATCGAATTTATTTCATTTTAATTAATTTAAATTTAAAAACTGGAGCAGTATATTTCTCCACTAAACATGACTTTACTTTTCGTGTTTCATTTTATTTATTATTTTTTAGAGACAGGGTCTCGCTCTGTCACCCAGGCTGGAGTACAGTGGCATTATCATAGCTCATGGCAGCCTCAAACTCCTGGGCCTAAGCGATCCTCCTGTCTCAGCCTCCCTAGTAGCTGGACTGCAGGCATGCGCCACCATGCCCAGCTAATTTTTGTATTTTTTGTAGAGATGGGTCTCTCTATGTTGCTCAGTCTGGTCTCAAACTCCTGGGCTCAAGCAATCCTCCTGCCTCAGCCTCCCAAAGTTCTGGGATTACAAGCATGAGCCACTGTGTTTCATTTTAATTGTCGAAACTTTGGCATCCAAACTGAGATGTGCTATCAGTGTAAAATACATACCAGATTTCAAAGACTTCATATGAAGAAAGAATGTAAAACATCTCACTAATAGTTATTATATACTGATACTAATACGTATTATTATATTTTTTGAAATGATAGTATTTTGGATCTATTGGGTGAAATGAAATATATTATTACAATTAGTTTTACCAGTTTCCTTTGACTTCTTAAGACATGGTGGATAGAAAAACTGAAGTTCCATTTGTGGCTCACATCATATTTGCGTTGGAAAGCGACGCTCTAGAGCTGCGCCATCCAATATGGCAGCCACCAGCCACATGTGGTTATTTAAATTTAACTCAAATTCAGTTCCTCAGTAGCACTAACCCCATGTCAAGTGCCCATGTGCCACCTAATTGGACAGTGCAGGTACAGAACATTTCCATTGTCACCGGAAATTCTATAGGACAGCGCTGCTCTGGAGTTAAGTAGAAGATACTTTTACAAGCATTTCTAAAGCAAAACAAAGATTTCAAAAAAAATCCCCTGTCACTTAAGGCCTCCAGATGCCCAGGGAACAAGCACACACATGGAGCAGGTCCTAAATGTCCACCACTCTGTACCTCTACCCCGGGCTCTGCCATGCCCACCTGTACTAGTATTTCCTGGACAGTTTCATGAAGTCAACTGTTAATGGACTCCTTTTAACTTGGTGTCATCCTCATCCATGACATCACGCTACAGGTTGGATGTGCTAATGGGTTTTTGGACTTCACATCAAAATAGACACATAACTATTGAAATTAAAATAAAAAACATCTGTTCTAAATTGTCACATGTCCCCTTTCTGCTCCCTCCCAAATACCCCATCCAGGGACATCCTACTTCTCTGGCTTCTACTGCACGGCGATCTCTGGAATCCAGCCCTGCTCCCCAGCCTAGACTGGGGGCTGTGTCGCCAGAGCCTCTGAGGCCACAGGTGTGAAGGGGCAGGAGGAGAGACAGCACAGCCACTGGCTGAGGAGAGCCCCCAGACCGGGCACAGGCCAGGGACGGGGTGAGGAGCTTGGGGGTCTGGAGTGGAAGCAGCCAGAAGAGCTGAAACGGGCACCCAGTGACAAGAGAAGACCGTGAGCGGAGATATGAGGGGTGGAGAAGCAAAGGGCAAGGACAGAAAGAGCAGTCAGAAGGGCTCGGGCTTTGAGCAGCAGGACCTGAAGGAATGTTCTGGGCAGGAGGCTCCCTGGAGGTTGTTCTGGGGCCCCAAGCCACCAGCCAGAAAGCCCTGGGGGCCGGGTCGCAGCCCAGCAGGGCGGACGCCAACGCCTGGCGCTGCGGTGCAGCTGCTCCCTGCTCAGACTGGCCTGCGCGTCTCGTGCTGCTCCTTCAGTGGGGACAGCAGGCTGGAGCACGGGAACTGGGCACTGGAATCAGAACTGTCCCTGACTTGCCCCGTGACTCTCCAGGCCTCTGTTTCCCCATCAGGAGTGACAACTCCAGCTCTTCTTGTGAAGATCAAATGCTACCTGCTGGTCCCTACCTGGAGGGCCCTTTCTTCTACCTTCTTGCCTGACCACCTCCTCTCATCCTTCAGGTCTCAGCTGAGACCTCACCTCTTCCAGGAAGTCCTCCCCGCCCTCCCCTGCATTCCTCCAGGCCCAGGCTTGCTGGCCTTCCCCAGCCTGCCACAGTTCTCCTCCCACTCACCGCCCCGGATCTGACAATCGGCTTAGCTAACAATTATTGTAGCTTCTACCTGCCCAGGAGCTTGCCACGGGCAGAGGCGTCTCTCCTTTACTGCAGCGCGCCCACTCTGGGATGGTGCCTGGTGCGGCGCCGCTGTTCAGTTACTTACAATAGTAGCTGAATGAATGAACGTGTCATGTGAGTTTGAGGCTCTGTGCATTGTCCGGAGGCAGGTGTCTGACAGAGAATCCCAAATAAGAGCGGACGTCAGGAGACGATGGGGAGCGGGAGGGGAGATTTCACAGGGTCGTCTCTGTGTCCTTAGTGTCCCTCTCTCTGGGCTGGGGCTTTCTGGGACCCTGACAAAGGAGGCTTTCTCGGGGGATTACTCCCAGGATGGGGAGGGACCAAGACCTGACCCCATGAACAAGGCTGAAGGCCCTGGAGGCAGCAAGGCCACGGAGGGACCCCCGGCAGGAGGGAGCAGAGGGGCTCAGCAGGGCCCAGGCGCAGAGCCAGGGCAGGGCGCTGCGAGCATCGGGGAGGCCACCTAGCGTCTTCTGGGGCCCAGAAACAAAGGTGGAACGAGCTGCTCTGGGAAGAGTGAGCTCCCGTCAGTGGAGACTTGCGACTGAGGGAGAACATCCAAGGACCTGATGGGGCAGAGGGGCCGGATCAGATGACCCTTCAGGTCCCTTCCAGGCTGGAGTTGAGGCCAGCATTGGGACAACCTGGCTACCCCCAGAGGCTAGGACTATCTCCTGGGGAGAGCTGTCCCTCGTTTCCTGGGCATCACCCCTGGTCAGGTCCTGGCCATTGGGGAGCATTTCCCAAACTGTTCCTTTTCTTCATAGAACAATCCAGATGTGCTGAACAGTAGTGGGAGATGATGGCAGAAAGGAACGCCCTTGGCCAGCAGACAGGAGGTGTAGTTCCAGCCCACCTCTGCCAGAAACTCACTGTGGGGAGTTTGGGCAAGTGTCCTCCCTCTGGGCCTCAGTCTCCCTGCCTGTTATGAAGCTGCCTCATGTGAGCAAGAGCCCTCTAAAGTGAGAAACTGTTGTCGCCTCCCTGTTCCTCCAACGCTGAGAAGGAAGAAGGTGAGTTAGGCCAAAGAGAAAGAGCTTCCATTCCTCCAAGACAGGGGCCAAGCCAGAGGGCCTCTCTCTCTCTGCAGAAGGAGGGGACCCATGAGGCCTTTCCTCCCCACGGAGTCGGCTTGTACCAGCCAGCGCCTCTCGGGAAGCCCAAGGGAGGATGAGGGTGAGCTGGGGGGAAGGCTTCTGAGTGCAGGGCTGAGGGGGGTGGGGGGCAAGCAGAGGCCACAGGTGAGGCCAGGAAGGAGGAGGGAGCCGGGCCAGCTGGGGCCCTGGAGAGGGCAGGAGGCTGCTGGGGAAGTGGCTGAAGCTTTCAGAGTCCTGAACGTCTAGAGTGAGGGTGGAGGGCGAGTGGCCTGGGGGATGGAGCTCTTGTAGGGAAAGATCTGGAAGGATGGCGCGGGGCGTGAGGACCAGCTCTGGGGCTGGGGGCAGTGGAGACGCGGACCCGACCCTGTAGGCAGGGTCCAGCTGTCTCCTGCCTGGACTGAAGTCTTCAGACCAACCTGTCGCTGTGCTGTCCACCTGCGCCCCCCAAAGGGCCTTCCCGCCGGGCTTGAGTACAGCGCTGACCCTTCAGGACCCTCAGGACCCTTGGGTGGCCCCCAGCCCTGCCCTGCCAGTCTCGAAGGCGGCCGGGGGGCGCCCTCACCTCCACCAGCGGGTAGGCGATCTCGTTGTAGATCTGCTCGGTGAAGTGGTCCATGTGGTAAGCGCCGTCGAAAGTGAACTGCTTGGGGGGCTCGTCGGCGGCGCCCGGGTTCTGGATGAAGCATTGGCCGCGCGCGCAGTCCACGGTCACCACGGGCTGGCAGTGCAGCTCCCGCTCCCGCTGGTTCATGGGCCGGCAGCGCACCACCACCTTCACCGACTCGGAGGCCATAGCGCCGCGGCCGGGCCCCCGCGCGCCGGGACAGACGGCTGCCCCACCAGACTACCGCCCCGCGGGGGACCCCTGGCCGCCCGTGCCAAGGGGCGGAGCCAGCGCGGCCGCGGGGGCGGGGCCTCGTGGCGGGGGCGGGGCTGCGGCGGGGGGAGGGGCCTCCGCCGGGGGCGCCCCGACGGGAGGACGGCGGCCGCGGGGCAGTCGCAGGACCCAAGCGGGGGCCGCCGTCGCCCCCCGCGCCCGGGCTCGCCCGTCCCTGAGACCCAGCCCGGGCGGGGAAGTGGGGGATCCGCGCTGCAGGCGCCGCAGCAGGACCCGAGTCCCGGAGCTGCCCCAGCCGCCGGCCGGCAAGCACGTCTCCGCGGCGTTCGCGGTTGCTGGGCAACGCCCGCGGCGTCACAGAGCGCGGCCCCGGCGAACGACGCGCGTCCTGGAGTCCGAGGGCCCCCGGATGGAGGCCGGCGCGCGCGGCTGCCTGCGGGGACCACCAGCGCCCGCTCTGCTGCGTGCCGGGCGCTTTCGCCTCCGCACAGCCCTGGTTCAGAGGGGTTAAGCAATTTGCTCGAGGTTGCCCAGCTAAGATGGGAGCCCAGGCTTGACTCTACCCCGGGGCTAGAGAGATCCAAGAGGGGAGGCTTCACAAAGGGGTTAGAGACCTATTGAGAAAAGCGAAAATGGCCTCGCTATCCTTTATGCACAGCCCTGTACTGACTCAGGAGAAGGCTGCCCAGAACCCACAGCCCTGGACAGGGCAAGCGTCCTCTGATGCCACCCTCGTTTCTGCTAAGACTGAAGATTTTAAAACAAACAGAAACTTTAGGAGCCAAGTCTTTTGGCTGGAGCTGGCATGGCACATGCTTGTAGCACCAGCTACTCAGGAGGCTGAGGCCGGAGGATCACTTGAACCGAGTTCTAGTCCACCCTGGGCAATACAGCAAGATCTCTTCACTTAAAAAAAAAAAACAAAAAGTTTTTTGGCTGGAGAGGCCACCCAAGCCAGAAGAGGGGCTCTGTCACTCACACCTCTGGGCTTCCCCCTTGCACAAAAACACAGTATTGGCTATGTGCCAGGTACTGCAACAGATGCTGAGGAGACATCCCTCCTGAAGCCCATAGTCTAGCAGGGGAGACTGACATTGGAAACAAACATCCTACAAACAAAATCCCATAAAAAGTTTACAAACTAAAGAAATCAGTTCCGTGGAACATCTGAAAAGAGAACCTCACTCGGCCTAGGGGGTCAGGGCAGGCATCCTCAGACTGACTGGAGCTGAAATATGATGGTTGAAGAGTTAGCGTGAAGGGAGGGGAGGAGTACAGGGAAACCTGTCTGGGCCGTGCAAAGGTCCTGTGGCATGTTGCAGGAGCAGAGAGCAAGCCCAAGTTGCCGGAGCAGGACTGGAGTATTTTTCCTACAGGAAATAGCCACTGACGTTCACTGCAGAAAAGGAAGCAACATGGCTTGATTAAATCTACCTAGCTCATCGTTTGGGACATTCTGAACCCTTGAGGACAGGACCTCCGTCTGGGTCACCGTTCAGCACCAGCTTAAGGTATGTTTGGCAACCAAAACAAAGCAGGTGAACTTGCCAAAGATTGTGCTGTGCCTTTCAAAGGAAAGAAAAGTCTGTACCAGACAATCCAAAGAAATGCATTTTATTTGTTTCAGGTCCACACAGTAAGGAGAGCTGGGCCACCAAGGTGGTACATTGGGACAAAGAGAAAACTGTGGCCTCTAATTAGACATTAAGGAGTCTGCAAACATGGGCCAAAACCTTGCCCTGTTTGTAACACATGATCAATAAATGCTCTCTGAAGGAAGTTACAGTGCTTGGGGAAGACTGTTCCCTTCGGTGTGAACGTTCCCGATGCCTTATCCACAGACAATTCACACAAAACCCTTCCCGCACAGAGGTGAGCCTTGGCCCAAGTCTGGGCCAATTACCAGGTCTCCTTAAATGCACATGTCTGGTGCTGTAATCCCAGTCATAGGATGTCACTAAACCCCTCTCCTTGCCAGGGGAATGAGGCTGGGGCCTTCCAGTAGAGACCGGGGCTTTGCTCAGGGAAGGGATGGGTTCCAATAGAGATGCCCGCACAACAGAGTACCAGCTTCCCACTCACATTATCAAACCAGTGCTGGGTTTCCAGTGAAAAGAGCCCCTACAGGACAGCCTCCTCCTATCCCCTGCGACAGGACATCTTACTGACTTGTGAGAAAGTGAGAAGGTCGTGTGAGCCAATATCCTGTCCCAGCTGGGAGAAGGGAAGCTGGGAACCTGGGGCCTGAGCCCCGGGGTGTCTGCTTTGCCCTCCCGAGCTTGTCCCTTTCTTCCTGCTCTGTCCCACTCCAGATGGGGGAGAAGGCAGCCCTTAGACTCATGACCAGGCCTGTGCCTCAGGAAGAGAAGTTCTTCCACAATGAACTTGCTCTGTAACTTAATTCGGAAGATGCATATTTTTCTGTCGAGGTTACTTACAAAGGGGGACAGTCACTGGCAGGGCTACTGCCTGAGCCTAGAATCACTTCCATGGATCTCCCACTGCCGTGGAGGCCAAGCCCCTCTGGCAGAGCCAACATCAGCTCTGCCTTTGGATGGTTCTGCTCTGGTGAGGTGGCCCCTGACCGCAGTGGTCAGCACCATGTTAAGAAGGTTTCCCAAGGCAGCCACCAAATGTCCTGCGGTCTGCAGGAGAGTTGGGCAGGGCCCTGGTCACCTCACTAAGTCTGGGCTCACTGCTGGCCCCTCCCTGTCAACTGGCTAAAGGAAATGAGCCCAAGATGGGGGGTGTCTTGGTCATTCTTACAGGGTGCAGGGGAGGGGATGGGCCTGGGGCATCCCTTCTGAGCAAGCAGGAATCACAGTCCTGTGGTTCCTTCCTGAGCAGCACACTGGGACTCTTTACCCGGTCTGCTAGGCCATAGCCCTTTCCGCACACAGGTGTCCGCCTGTGCATGGGCTTTGGGTGGCACAGCTCTTTGTGCCTCATGCCCTTTCTGCCTTCCTAACCCCCCACTGCTCAGAGCTCAAGGTGAGACTCCACCCTCAGATGCATGTGAGAAACAGGCGGTGCTCTACCTGCCAGCCTGGCGTGGCTCAGCCCCAGCCTCCCCGCCCACAAGCTCCTCGGGGTCACCTCTGCTCTCTCACAGAGAGGTGGCTCACCCCCAGATCTTTGCCCAAAGTGAGAACTCAGCCCTGCCTCCCCAAGCCCTTCTCCGTCACTTTTCTGCTTTCCTCTGTCAGGAGCTCTCTGGAGACTCCCAGTCAGGGCCCCAAGGCCTGGCCCCCCTAGGAGAGAGGGCTGGACCTCCATCACCAACAAGCTCCCACCTTAGGAGTAAAGTGGAAGCCCAGAAATGACAAGCATCCGAAGTCACCCAGCAAGTTAACAGAAGCCTGGAACTCCACCTGCCCCTCCTAGAATCTTGAAGGGCCACACGCTCTGCAAGAAGCCCCTGGTAATCCCCAATCTCAGGGCTCCCCTCCCACACACGGTGAAGCAATGGAAGACCGGTCCAAGGGGCAAGGTGACTGGATGGAACTGGTGACCAGTAGGGTGCGACAAGGGCGGAGGCTGCTGAAGCCAGGGCCAGGGTGAGTCTGGGCCTTGGCAGTGGGCCCCGGCCTCCTAGCCAAGGCCCTGCAGTTCTGCCTCGGACTTGGCATGGCTGAGGGGCCGGAGAATCCGGGGCAGCCTGCCCTCGGGCCCGCAGTCCTGCTCCTCGTAGGTGGGGTTCAGGCGGCCCATGTCGAGGGGGCAGAAGAGGCTGCGCTCCGTCACAGCGTGGTTCTCCACCAGGGCCTCCAGGCTGGGGAACTCTGCTGGCAGGTGCTAGGCGAGGAAAGGGCTTCAGCTCCAGTCCCCTTCCCCATGGCTCATGCCAGCCACCGCCCCCCGACAGGAGGCTGACCATTTCAGAGAGCAGGACATAGAGCTCAGAGAGGTCACATGTGCTGCATGGCACAGACACCATTTCCTCTCTGAGACATTCAGCGTAGAAGTAAGAGTACACATGTGAAAAGTCCTGCCACCCTCTCCCAGTCCCTGGAAACCTGGGGGCAGGACAAGACGCCCGAACGGAGCTTAGGCAAGCCCTGGCCTCTAAGTCAGTTTCCTCCTCTTCTAAGATGGGCTGGGGTGTGGGAAAGCAGGACTTAAAAGCCAGGATTCCTACAGAAATGCGAGGCGTGACTCCCGCCCGGCCCACGACTATTAGGTGCACTCTCCCAAAGGCCCCTCTGGAGAGCGGGCCCTCAGGGACCAGGCACCCTCCTGGTCCTCCCAAGTCTTTAGGTCAGGGCGGAGCCAAGAGGGCAGAGGCGGGGCCAAGTGGGCCAGCAGGGCCAATGAGGGCAGCGGAGGTGGGAGGGAATTGGATAAGGGGCGGGGCCAGAGGGAGCCAATAGGATACCGGGATGGAGGCGAGGGAGGCTCAGGACCTCAGAGGTTAGAAAAGGGCCGGGCAGGCCGCTCACTCACCTCCACGCAGTAGCGGCCCAGGTGGTTCCGGAAGACCTGGTGGGGCACCACGCCGCACTGCGTGCGCACCGACAGGCACCACTGGCCGCTGGTGCCCGGCTCAGGCCACAGCAGGAAGGCCCCGAGCACGTCTCTCCGCAGCAGGGCGAGGGCACAGTGCCTGCGGGCACAGAGAGGGTGGCTGAAGGCAGGACCCTTAGTCGGGGTTCAGCCTCAGGGTGCTCCCTGGGCAATGGGCATAACAGCCAATAAACAGCCAATAACAAGATTAAATGCCCTTAAAACCATAGTGCCCGCCAGGCGCGGTGGCTCAAGCCTGTAATTGCAGTGCTTTGGGAGGGGGTGGAAGGTGTCATCGCTTGAGCCCAGGAGTTGGAGGCTGCAGGGAGCTACGATGGCGCCCCTGCACTCCAGCCTGGGCCACAGCACAAGATTGTCTAAAAAAAAAAAAAAAAAAGCCGGACCCAGAGTAGCTGCTCAACGCTGAATGAAAGGAAGCTTTTAGAGGCTTAAAAGGTTTCCAAAGGGTCCCTAATTGTTCACAACTGCAAGACCCGATCAGGAGAGAGGTTTAAAGAGCTGAC